AATAGCTGATTTCAGAGCACTAGGAAAGGTGCCTTCCTGGATAGATTGATTTATCAACTTTGTTATTGGGGTGGTCAGGTTGTCTTTATACTTTTTGAGGAAGACAGTGTCTAGTCCATGAATATCCTTAGTCCTGGAGCTTGACAGAGATGAAAGGATTTTACATAGCTTTGCCTCATCTGTGGGCTGAAGGTTTAGATCCCTTTCATGGTTTATTATGATCTGATCAGGGTAGATTTATGAGAAGTTGTGACTCAGTTCCTGAATGGACATAATAAAATAGTCATTAAAATTGCTGGCTATATCTAGGCTGTCTGAGATATGTGTACCAGTTAGTTTAAGCTGCATGACTTCACTCTTTGAACATTCCTTTCCCGTGAGCAAAGCTTTTTATTGTTCCCTTTTGCATCTTTAATAATCTCGAAGAAAAAGTTTGCTTTTGCAAACTTTTTTTTGCAAACTTTTCAACTGTCACCGGCTCATTATACATTATCCCTTACATAATTAACTTGAGTCTAAGCAAATTAAGAGCCACACTGTAGCCTCCAGACATGACAAGAGTAACAATACATATTACAAGCTCACCTCAACCTCACTCACTCTGATATGGCTGATTGAACACTGTGAAGCTGTTTGATGCTCAGAGATCTGTAGAAGTTCAGTAAGGAGTTTTTGAGCTGTGATGTGAATGAACGACAACATTTCTCTGTAACGTGTGTGTGTGTGTGTGTGTCTGTGTGTCTGTGTGTGTGTGTGTGTGTGTGTGTGTGTGTTTCCTGTTTCCTGCAGATGTCCAGCAGCTGTCGGTGGTTAAAGAAGAGGTTCCCCCTGAGCAGCAGGAGTGGAGCTCCAGTGTGGACCAGGAGGACCCGGAGCCTCCACACATTAAAGAGGAACAGGAGGAACTCTGGATCAGTCAGGAGGGAGAGCAGCTTCAAGGGCTGGAGGAGGATGATATCACCAAGTTCACATCCACTCCTGTCCCTGTGAAAAGTGACAATGATGAAGAGAAACCTCAGTCCTCACAGCTTCATCAAAGACACACTCAGCAGATGAGAACAGAAGTGGAAGGAAAGGACTGTGGAGGAGCGGAACCATCCAAGAATTCAGATTTGTATAGACATTTACAACCTGAGACTGATGACAGTGATGGTTGGACAGAGACCAGAGAACCTCAGTCAGGTTTAAACTCTCTGAAAAATGATCAAGTCCCTGTCAATGATTTGATTGTTGGTGAAAAACCATTTCGCTGCTCTGAGTGTGGAAAAGTTTTTAATCGTAGTGGCAGTCTGAAGGAACACATGATACGTCATACTGGAGAGAAACCATTTAGCTGCTCAGAGTGTGGGAAAACATTTGGTTACAGTGGATCTCTGAAAATACACATGAGATGTCATGCAGGAGAGAAACCATTTAGCTGCTTGGAGTGTGGGAAAAGTTTTGGTTACAGTGGAGATCTGAAGAGACACATGAGAGCTCATTCAGGAGAGAAACCATTTAGCTGCTCTGAGTGTGGCAAAAGTTATATTCAAAGCGGAGATCTGAAGATACACATGAGATCTCATTCAGGAGAGAAACCATTTAGCTGCTCTGAGTGTGGCAAAACCTTTGCTCAAAGTGGAGTTCTGAAGGTACACATGAGATCTCATACAGGAGAAAAACCGTTTAGCTGCCCTGAGTGTGGGAAAAATTTTGGGTACAGGGGATACCTGACCATTCATATGAGAACTCATGCAGGAGAGAAACCATTTAGCTGCTCTAAATGTGGAAAACGTTTTTGTCGCAGTGGAAGTCTGAAGGAACACATGAGATCTCATACAGGAGAAAAACCATTTAGCTGCCCTGAGTGTGGGAAAAAATTTGGTTACAGGGGATACCTGACCATTCACATGAGAAGGCATGCAGGAGAGAAACCATTTGGCTACTCTGAATGTGGGACAAGATTTGGTGATAGCGGTGATTTGAAGAAACACATGACATCTCATTCAGGAGAGAAACTATTTAGCTGCTCTGAATGTGGCAAAAGCTTTGCTCAAAGTGGAGAGCTGAAGAGACACATGAGATGTCATACAGGAGAGAAACCATTTAGCTGCATGGAGTGTGGGAAAAGATGTGGTTACAGTGGAGGTCTGAAGAATCACATGAGATCTCATTCAGGAGAGAAACCATTTAGCTGTTCTGAGTGTGGAAAAAGTTTTTGTCAAAAGTTAAATCTGAAGGCACACATGAGATCTCATACAGGGGAGAAACTATTTAGCTGCTCTGAATGTGGCAAACGCTTTGGTCGAAATTCACATCTGAAGAGACACATGAGATCTCATACAGGAGAGAAACCATTTAGTTGCTCTGAGTGTAGCAAAAGCTTTGGTCAAAGTGGAGATTTGAAGACACACATGAGAACGCATACAGGAGAAAAACCATTTAGCTGCTCAATTTGTGGGAAATCATTTACACAAAATGGAAATTTACAAACACACATGAAAATTCATGAAGGAGAAAAGTGATTCAGCTGTTCAGTCTGGAAAAAAAAACTGTCGTTGCTTTTAGGAGGGCATCTTGTAACTGCATCAGTTTTCAGTTGTGAAGGGCTGTCTGACAGCATGGTTATGTGTTGAAAATACATTTAATGTAGTGTCTACTTAAATTGATGTGGACATTGTTTAGGTGATGCTGTTTTTATGTGGCTAAGATAGGTTTTGCTGCTGTCCCCGTTCACAGTCACAGACTCCTTTGATAGAAACAGCCCTTTTTTCTACCTAGCTCCCATGCCATTTTTGGTCTCTTTTGGGTCTCTCTGCATCATTCTGTGTCCCCTCTTGAAATTCAGATCTTTCTATGGGTTCACAAAGGCAGTGCATGTGGAACTCTTCATGAGTTTTTTACCCCCCTGTGCAGCAGTAGTATGAGTCATGGGGTGGATAATTGATCAAGAGCTCCAATCAGAGCTGATCTGATCGATGGGTGAGAGGAGCAGCTGCTGCAGAGGTGAGTGAAAGCAAGGGAAGTAATAAAGCAACTCAGGACATAAAATAAAAGAAATGTCAGACAGGATGAACCATGGTGTTAAACTGTTTTTCTTTAAATGTTTCAGTCATGGCTGAAAATAACAGAAATAAACAGGTTTGCTGAATTTACACATCTCTGCAATTCACAAGAGTTTGCAGTTTCTACCTGGGGGGTATTCCATCAACGTAGCTAAAAATGTCCAGACTAAGGTGTAATTTTGAAGTTAGACCAAACGCCAACTCCCAATCTAGCGCCAACCTGTTCCATCAAGTGAATTCAGCTGGCTCCAACTGACGCTAATTCAAGCCTCACCTGTTAAGCCTCAACTAATGCACGCCCCCAGGGAAAATAAAAAGCCCACACTAGTCAAGTGCCGAAAATGTTGCAGAATGTCAAAAAGCGAAGGACAGGAGCGAGCGGAGGCTTTTTCTACGGCGGAGCAAACACTCCTTGTGGAAGTGTATGAGGACTATAAGGACATAATTACGAAAAAAGGCAACACTGCAGCAATTAATAAAACAAAGGAGGTGGCGTGGCAGAATATTGCCGACAGGCTACATGCGTAAGTGACAAAGAAAATTCAGCATTTCAGCATAATATCATGTTCTATAAATCCCGCATTAAAGGGACAAAATATATGTCGATAAGAACACATATTAAATCTAACAATTCAAGTATGCCTAATGAAATTCACCAAATGTGTAAATTAATATTAGTGACAGACTATTTATCACATTTATCTACTGATTCCTATGTACATTTCAGATGTTGTATTTAATCAAACTATTTTATATGAATCATCGCATTTATCACATAATTGATTGTAGATTATGACATTTGAAATGATCAGTTTATAGGAAATAATCACATGACATTCATCTATTGATTGTAGAAAATTACTTAAATCCATCAATTCAGTGGAGATGAGGAAACCTATTAAGTGGATGCAGTTGATAGATAATTATCTGTTTTCTTATCATTTCTGTTAAAGAGGTTCTTACGGCCTTAAAAGACCTAGACCCTCGAAAATCAGCAGGTCCTGATAACCTTCCCCCTTACTTCTTACGTTTGGCTGCGCACATTATAGCTCAGCCGGTATCTCACATCTTTAATCTTTCTATCCAGAGCAATGTTATTCCTGATGTGTGGAAAACCGCCTGCGTGCTCCCTCTCCTGAAAGGGGGTGACCGCACTTTATTGAATAATTATAGACCCATTTCCAAGCTCTCTATTTTAGCAAAAGTTCTTGAAAGGCTGGTGAATGACCAGGTCAAGGATTACCTGAGCCTGAACAATATTTTATCTCCTTTTCAATCTGGTTTTAGGAAGCAGCATAGTACTGCAACTGCTACCATTAAGGTGATAAATGATATGTTGGAAGCCATGGATGCCAAGAAATATTGTGCTGCTCTTTTTATCGATCTTTCAAAGGCATTTGACACAGTCGATCACAGTATTTTACGTCAGCGACTGTCCACCATTGGAATGTCAGACCATGCAGTTGGCTGGTTTTCTAACTACCTCTCCAACCGTAAGCAGTGTGTGCAGTCCGATGGTCTTTGCTCCGGGTTCCTAAACACTGTAAATGGTGTGCCGCAAGGTTCCATCTTAGGACCCACTCTCTTTACTATCTATATGAATGAGGTGGGCCAAAATATTAATGCATCTGTACATCTTTATGCTGATGACACCGTTGTCTATTGTTGTGCATCTTCTGTTGCCCAGGTGTTCACAGATCTGCAGTCTGCATTTGACGCCATTCAGGCGCAATTGTCTCAACTCAGACTAGTTCTAAATGCAGGTAAAACTAAGTTTATGTTCTTTTCAAATAAAAAGAAGGTGCCTGCTGTTCTACCCTGTATTACGTCTGCTCAGGGTACCCCCATTGAGTCTGTGGCTACTTACAAATATCTAGGCGTCACAGTGGATGATAGCCTCTCTTTTAAATGTCATGTTGACCAGTTACTGAAGAAATTGAAGTTAAAGCTGGGGTTTTTCTTCAGAAATAGAGCCTGTTTCTCTTTTAAAGCTAGAAAACATATTGTTGCGGCCACTTTCTTGCCACTCCTGGATTATGGTGATGTTGTATATATGAATGCCTCTGCTCACTCCCTGCAACTGCTGGATGCCGCGTATCACGGGGCCTTGAGATTCATAACTGGTTGTAAACCCCTCACACATCACTGTACATTGTACTCTCTCACAAACTGGTCTTCACTTTCCATGCGCAGAACCACTCACTGGTATCTATTTATCTATAAATCCATCATCGGACTGCTCCCCTCCTATTTGTCCACATACTTGACACGGAAACAGTCCGATCGCAGCCTCCGGTCCCTGGACTTCATCTCGTTTGCCATCCCGTCAGTCTGTACTGAACTTGGCAAGAAGGCGTTCTCCTACGCTGCGCCTGCAACCTGGAACATGCTCCAGCAGAGGCTGAAACTGTCCAGCTTCATTCCTTTAGGGGACTTCAAATTGCTTGTAGGAAGGCTGATGAGACAGTCTGTGGGGGTCTGCACATGTGCTTAACCAGTCCTATTCTTCTTTGCACTTTGTAGTTTGCACTATACTACTTTAATGTTTGTGTTTTGTGTTGTGTCTCCTGTATGTTCAGTTAGTCAGTAACTTTGTGTTCTGCTGCTGCCTACCTGGAACAGGTCTCTCTTGTAAATGAGACCCTGGGTCTCAATGAGATTTTACCTGTATAAATAAAGGTTAATAAAAAAATAAAAATTTGGGAGTCAATTGTAAGCTCTATCCCTTATTATATCAAAATAAGGAAAATCCCCTTAAATGTATGGAATGTGCTATAGGATGAGGAACAGACAAACCACAATGATGTGTGTCCCATTTTAATGTGGTTGCTTTGTGTCATGGTTAATTCATAAATATAAAAGATAACCATATGTTAATGTGATCATCTCAAGCCCTATGCATGATGTATGGTGATGCTAGAAATAATCAAAATGAATAGAAAATACACCTTTTTTACCTCTCTGCAAACAGTTGCCTTACTTAGCCTATCAGCATCACCAACACTATCCAGGAGTGTACCGCTTGCAAAGAACCTCAGTGCAGTACAGACTGACTTTACTGAGGTTCTTTGCTAATGGTACATTCCTGACTGACTGCACAGTGGTCAGAGACTGGCTGCGACGTGTGATCTTTATAATGTGTGGTTCCAGCAAGCTGTATAGATACATATGCTTTGCCTGCTGAACCAGTACCTCTCCCACAGATAGGAGTCTGTCTGTATCAATGGGTTGGTCCTGTCCTGGAAGACCCTTGGGGCTGGTGGTGGTTGGAAGGCCCTCTGTACAATGTGGGCCTCCTCATCAACAGGATCCTCGATGAAGGGGCATGCCATTATTTCCTAATTTACTCTCTCTTGCTCTGTCTCTGTGTCTCTCTGGGTGTGTTCCTCTCCTTCTCTTGGATGCACTCCTTATGTGGCTGTTGTCAGCTGACCTTAATTGGCTGTGAATTTGCTAGCCAATTGGAAATGCAGTGGGGTGGAGGACAATCACATATTCATGTGGTTTGGTGTACATATACAGTCTTTTTTTAATGCCTCAGTTTCATTTTAGTTTTGTTCTTATTAGTTTGATTTTGGCTTTACTGTTGTGTTTTTTTTATGATCTACATATTACTTTATCATCACATGACAGTTGTGAGTGTGTAAAAGCACTGGCAGAACTGTCTTTTAGGTGTCTGTTCTTGTCTATTGAATATTTTTTGATCATAGATGGAGCTAATCCTCACCATAATCCTGTTACACACCAGGATTGCCCAGCAGCATAAGTTACCATGGTTACTAGGCTGGGATTCAGGTTAACCACCTTGATGGAACTGAGTTGTGGCTCAGTTTGATGGAATGGAAACCTGATTTTAGCTCGATGTATCAGGCTTAGCCAGAACCATGGTTTCCATGGTTACTGATGTGAGGCTAATCTTGGTCACTTTGATGGAACAGAACTCTGGCTCACATTAGCCAGACTTGGCCATTTAAGACTGGATTTGCCTTTAGTCTGCTTGATGGAATACTCCCTGGAAGGTTTAGATCAAGGTCACAGTGATTGTCTGTGAAGACATTATCAATATCCATATAAGCATATGATGTCATCCATTGGAAAAGAGTTGTCAGCTCTGCCATACTTGTGAACTATAGCCAATAAAACAATACTATTAAGAATCAGAAAAAAATCATCATCTGCCAATGGCTGGATCAACTAACACAGCAGATAACAATGGAGCAACACTCAGCTCTGAAAAAAGTTATCCTGATGGATTATGAGTTAAAGGTTTGTTTTTATTTCCTGAATGTTACACTTATGGACTATCTGTGTAAACTGCCCATCAAAATGTTGGACGGCTAAGTGTATTTTAAATCATTTATCCTCCTGAGTGTGTTTTTTTGAGTAAGCCCACAATTCCGGGTAACGATTCTGGGCCCTATTTCAGGAAGCAGAGGAGAGGCGTTCACCAGACAAACGGGAGCGGAGGAGAGGATTTTACTCCACTTCTCCTGGTTGGAGATGCTGGGTGCCCAGTAGCTGCAATGGCGGCAGTGGCGGAGATTTTAATAACAGCAAAATGAAAAAAAATAAAAACACGTCAGCTGCAGCTAAACAGGGTGATGTGTGGTGGGAACAGACTGCATAGTGTGTTCATAGGTAATGTGAGGTGATGTGCTGTAATGTGATGTGTTAATGTGTCTAATATACAGAAAATACAGAAACATTACACAGAGTTCATATATTTTAATATAATTTGCTGTATCATCTTATTCAGCTGTAATCTGATGGAACCCAAACACACTGGGCAGCAACTCAAAATTAAACACAAAAATATTGTACAGACACCAGATGGTGTGTGTCCAAGGCTCCTCAAAGACTGTGCTGCCCAACTATGTCAACCTCTCCACAAGATCTTCCACTTCAGTCTACAGTTGGGGCGGGTAATAGACTTCCTGTGTTGTGCCGGTACCAAAAATTAAGTGTCCAGCTGAACTTAATGACTTCAGACCAGTAGCCCTGACTTTGCACATCATGAAGACCTTGGAGCGGCTGATTCTAAGCCTACTGAGACCTGAGGTCAAAGACAAACTCAACCCCCTGCAGTTTGCATACAAACAACACATTG